GGGCGTTTTTTCATCGAAGGAAGAGTGTACGGTACCTGTGTGGGTGGGCAACGTGATTGGCCGACGACGCTCTTCTGTGTTCGTCCAGGCGGATCATCAGGGCTCTTGTGGTCCCCCCCACATACTTTTTTTAATATCCTCCGCTTTAAATCGAACAGACGGTGACTTGAAGTTCAGAACTTCTTAATGTTAGACGTTCGCGGCACCGTTTTCCCCATACTCGAGACGATGACAGAAGATCCTCTCGCGTAGGGACGGGCATTTGAGATGTTATGTTCTCGACTTCAATTAGAGCTCTCCCTCGAAGAAGGATTAGACGGCTAGTGACGAGACTACGAAGCGCGATCCCAAGTGGGGGGCAAGGAAGTAAATCGCGGATCAAAAGTTACCGTTACCTGCCTAGAGACGTTTCAATTCAAATCCTGTTTCTAGATGAATTCACTGTTGCTGTGTGCCGGGTCGATTTATTCCTCTCGCTCCTCCCACGGGCTTCTCCCCGCTAGATTCTGTTTTCCAATGAATGGAGGGAGGGCTGTGGAATCCAGAAAACGTCCAAGAGACGTCCCTCTATATATTCTTGCGCTGATACGCCAAAGTGAAATCACACGAGCTACACAGCCATCATTAGCAAACGCCTGCACTTGCAAAGCTATGCAGATAAGCGATTAAGGAAGATCTGGAAGAGAAACAGTTGTGGCTGAAGCCAGCGATAGTGGGAAGGCCATTCTCAAAGCCCAGCGGAGCTTAGTAGTAACAAGACCAAGATGAATTTCCTTCGTCGTCTTGTCGGGAGAGGTTCTGCACCTGGAAGGGCATTGAAGAAAGTCATGTACGGTTTCCACTCGGATCTCTTTGACATCCACGTTTATCTACCCAACTGCCATCTTAGGCGATTCGGATATGTCGTTCTCTCAGTTCTCTCTCCGGCATTCGATATGTCATCACGTCAATGAAACATGCCCGCTTACGAGTGGTGCAGTATCTACAACGCTGCAAGAACTCGTCCACCCCTGGGTGCGGCAAACAGCCGAGGCAATCTTATGAATCCCTATCTAGACCGGTTTCGGACCTTACGCTGCCACAAATGGTATTCGAGGGGGCCACGACTCACCCCAACGGTACAACTCATCAGCTACATTTATCTTAAACTGTGTCTTTAACGAAGACGATGTGCATGAGAAACGGATCGGCATCTGATATTCTCTTCAAGCTAAACTAAACGAATATCTCTTAAGGCTCCAGCGATGTGTATCTAGAACGAGATGTCCGACATTGCACCGGGACTGTGCAGAGTGAACACGAGGCTAGCGGAGCATCGGTGAAGACCGGGTGGACATTGGAAGAGACAGCTTACACCCGGCTCTGCGTTCATTTTCGACACAGTGGTCCTTCCAGCCTTGACATCTGTCTATAAAACTTGGGCTCTATGCAAGCAGTATGGGTGTGCAGTCAAGGTCATTTAACGTGATATGGTAGGGACAGAGTTTTCTTATAGTATATGCGAAAGGGGATTGAAATGCGGTGTTAAATGCTCTATAAATGAGCGAAGGTCGGGATCACATTGCTTACACCAAGGAATTAAAGATTAGGTGGGCCGAACAACCCATGCTATGTCGTGATGAACGTTGCTCCAGGGCAGTTACTGTATGGCTCTCTGCGAATGTCAAGCGAACGCCAGGGTGACTGTCTTTGCAATGGTCAGGCTTCTTCACAAAAGCTTTGAATATGGAACGCTATGTCTTATGTTCTTCGCACTGAATAGGATCATCCACCGGACTAGTCTGACTCGCGACAGGGACAAAGGGCGCCCGTTCGAGGAAATCGATGAGAGTAAGGCAGGATGTACAAGTGATTCTATTTTACCATCGAGATGATAACGCCACTCCTTCCCCTTTTGTGTGAAATTTTTCTGCCGCCCACGTCCCTTCCTTACTTGGCTGTTCTGGTACAAGAGAACAGAATTCATAAATTTCCGACAAAACACGCACGCACACATACACATAGTACATACATACATAGACACCCACATGCATACATACGTACACACTCATATACGCATACGCTTAGCACGTTATATATAGCAGAATACTCACTGTAGCTAATTCCTTACCCATAGCTCTCGGTCAACTATTTGCTTCACTTTCCAGGAATTTTTCAGAATGTTTGATATACAAAACTTCAAAGGTGATCACCAAAAACCACGAGAAAAAGTCAAACAACGACACAACGAAACCTAAGGCAGGTTTAGCTCAACTATTGCCATATCGATCTTAAGGATTTAAACTGAACGAGGGTCCCAACACGAATATGATACGCAGCCATGGCTTAGCGCTTGCTAGCGTTGCCCATTTTTTCATTTTTCTCCCATCCTACTTCGCGTGCTGTTTGTTTCGACTCCTTGCCCTAAAATGAGCGTTCAATAGCTCCCAAACTCTTTTTCTGAGGAGTTGTGTACTGAATATTATGCCTTCTTCCACACACCTCAGTTCTCCTCCAACCGCTCTAAGAAGGCACTCATACTCTGCGTGCGAGGGAGCGCTCCGTGCCACTGTAGTGGTTGAATCTGCTCTTGAACACAGAAATTTGTAGTAATTCTCTTTCTTTCTTATTTTTTTCAATTATACAATTACAGACGGTTTCTAGGTTTTCTGGGTATGTGGGTTCATCTTTAGAGGGTTGTTCAATTGCAAAAAATATTTTAGAGCAGCTGTGTCCTATCATTCCTTTGAAATAGTTGTCCGAATCTGATGCAATGAGCAAGCAATGAAGAGCCATCCCTACTTTTCCATTCCAGAGAAAAAAAACTAAAGTTCAAGGCGCCCTCCTAGTACTAAAATTGATTCAACCAGAAATCATGGCTCATACACATGGTGTCGGCACATCATGTCTGGGTCAGTGCCAGAGCCTTGTTTAGTGCACCGTATATATGACGGCCTTTGGACGTTTTCATTTAAATAGGGTCATGTCGTGAAATGGGACGTGTTGTCCGCGACTTTTTGAGTCTGATGAACTTTATGCATCAGAAGACCTGTGGGAAATCGCGCCGATTGGTCAATAACCGTGTATTCCATGGCGGGTGAATGCTATTCATGTAAAGCATTTCTCGAAAACTTTTGTTGAAGTCATATTACCATCAAGTTTTATTCTCTGCTATTTCGTATCTAGTTGAGTTTTACGGTGTTCCAACGTGACCACTGCATGCTTTCATAGTTCGGTGGTCGGCCGGCCGGCGAGCGGCGCGCCAGTTGACGTAAAACGAATTAGTCCGTATGTAAGAAATCTACGTCTGTTGCATTTTATTTCACGGTCAGAACCCGACCAAAGAGTCTGGCCGTGAAATAAAATGCAACAGACGTAGAATTCTTACATATGAACTAATTCGTTTCACGTCAGTCGGCAAACTATGAAAGCAGCCATTCAGTTGTTATAGGTGTTTCAGCGTAGTTGCAACATAGCTTTTTTATAATTTAATGAATTTGCCATGGTTGTCTACAGGTAGCTGGATAGGGATTTCTCTAAGGCAGCTGTGTGGAAGTAGTGTAAATGCAAATCAACTGTTTGTTTTAGCGTTTTGCTACCGAATCTTCGTACTGTGTGCTCACAAGCCGTAACATTTCCATCGGACGGTTCACTGTTCAACTACCTTTCTCGAGGTGTGTTTCGTTGTCTTCACCTCCCTCATACTGAATATGTATAAACGATAATAAAGCATAAAAGCAAAGTGCCAAGGTTTCACTTTCTTACCGTGGTCCCAAAGTTGTTTCAAACTGCAAAAGCAGCATAATAAGATCACGAATAACATGTACTAGTTTTCAGTAGAAATGCGAAGTAACAGTCAAACTACGGTAATACTTGAACCTAGTTTTTTTTAGGAACTAGTCCTTTTGCGAATCTTAACTACGGTGCTATTTATCACTACATGGCGATAGCCGTCTACAGTTGCGTACCAACTGTACATACAAGGGATTACCTTCTTGTGGATATGGGTATATTTGCCCGTTTAGAGGTGCACGCAACAAACTGCTTGTGCATTTGGCTCTACTTGCTTGCTTTTTGTCTAGAAGAATATTGTTTTTACCTAACTTTAAGAAGGAGAGGGGTTCCGGTGTGGATGAGACGGTACTCTCGTGCAAAAAGCTGAGGTAAACGTTGAACATCCTATTGGTTACCTACCCCAGAGCTCCGAGCTCCTCCCCTCCTTCAAGTTAAGTAAAAAATACACATTTATAATATAAAAAAAGCTATGAGACTTTCCTAAGCACCACTACAGGCTCGGCTATCAAAAGGGCGCTGCCACCCCCCCCCCCCCCCCCCCCCCCCCCCCCCTCTCTCGCCCTAACGACATTTTCACCTAATCTTTATTATTCTTCGCTTTGTCCTTCTTCTGATTTTTAACGGATGATTCAACCAGATGATTTAGGATATCACTCTTTGGTTATTACTTAATAGAAAATGGTTCGTGATACCGATTCAAATGTAAGTAACATTTTGCTAACTTCTTATTCTTTATTAGTTTTGATCTGTATTTTTCAGATCTTGTCAGGTGAAAATACCCCTAACACGGACGAGGAAAGTGTAACAGAGCCTTGGGAAGGCTCTTATATCATTTTAAACCTTTTGGCCACACATTTTGCTTCACAAGGGGATACTGAAAATGAAATAGAAACCAATGAAATTACTCCTGTCTCCTCCGATGAACCATCGGAGGATTTAGAGACCAGTTCGGAAACCATCTCCACATCGAGTGACCAGAGTGGCACTGGGTCGGGCGGTTATATGACCATAGGGCCCTCAGTTTCAGGAACATCGGTGAGTTTCGCCAAATGGACCTTCTTGATTTTCGAGCACTCAGTTTTGTTCAGTTTCAGTCTTCTGGAAAAAGCACTTCATTTGAAAATCCTTGCGTAGAATGTACCTCCTTTGAGGAATTCGCAGGTGAATGGTTTTTATGTCGATAATAATAATAATAATAATAATAATAATAATAATAATAATAATAATATTTATAATAATAATAATAATAAGTATAGTTGCCAGTCGTAGTTGCCTCCCATGAAACTGATATAATATTTCAGGCATTCCGGGCAGGGATGAGGTGGGACCTACTATTTGTGAAAATGACAAGCCGGAAATTGGATTGGATGTCGACAGCACCCAGGAAGACTAGATTAACTCTTGAATGTTCTGAAAAACAATGTTTCTTTAAGAATTTGTATTTTATCAAATATTTGTAATGATTATCAATGTTTAAATTGTTGTAAGTTGATTTTTTGATGGGATTCTTCCAGATTAACGTGTCTTCGATCTTAATGAAGCTACTTTCTTTATCTCTGAATGTCAAGGCAGTCTAACTCCCGTAGGACTTCCATGGACTCAAAAATGAGAGGCAATAGTTATCAGATATTCAAGTCATCAGTTTGAGTACAACTTTGGGGTTGATTGGACAGAAAGAACTGAAAAAAGGTTATATCCACAGCAGCCGCTTCGAGCTATCAACTTCGTGAACTGCATCGAGCTGATCTCGCTCCGGATCACAACAATACATTTAGCGTCCGTACGTCATGTACCGTAGTAGCCGTTATTGTACTGGCCGCCGTAGCCGTACGGATAGTAACTGTAGCCTAGACAATTTCATTGATAGTAAGTCACGAGGAGTATATAGTAACTTACCAGCATAAGTATTGTAACCATACGGTACCATAGCTCCCCTAACATAATAATTATTCATCATGTATGCGCCGTGCTTCGCTGACAAGGCTTTTTTTCTTTTTTCTGGAATGTAATGGATAATCACTTTTATTCAGATCTCAACATCGCATTTGAACGTCAAATACATATATTTTTGCTGACGAATCGGAACTGGCCTCACTCAATGGGTTTAATGTACAATTATTCTTCGTTGACGCTTTTGGTTTCTTCTGAGCACTACGTGCCCCGTATCGAAAATACGTTACTGTATAAACGCAGTTGGACAGTTGGTAGCACAGTCACTCCCATTGAATCTTGAGCACCATTTCCTTACATCAAAACATATGAGATGGTGACCAAAAGTCACACCGCTACGCCGAGTCGTATGCCATGCGGATCGATACAGTTTAGACATTCCTGTAGCGGATTTCGTAGGTGGTGGATAGGCTCATTTAATTTGACCATATCAATCAGAACCCAGAACCATGCTTATTGATGTTGCCACAAACGATATTTCATCTGCTTCGTGTATTCTGCCGGCTCGAATGTAGAATGCAAAAAAGACGTCTTATTCCACACTCGGTCGCGTGCGGTTGCGATGCGTGCGCCGTGACATTTTGATACCAATTCTTCATTGGACTGTCTACGGTTCAACACTTTGGCTCACGCAGGTGTGTTCCGTTTTCTACACCTCCCTGATACTGAATGAGCGAAAATACAGCATAAAAGCAAAATGCTAAGGTTTCAGATTTTTACCGTGGTCCCCATGTTGTTACAAACTACAAAAGTTCATTGGAAAAAATCATGTGTGCATTTGCCGCGCCATTCGCCGGACGCGTCAATGTTCCGTCAGAAGGGCGAACTTTTGCTTCAGTAACCCAGCAGATTTGGCAGTCCGTAGCCAGCCTAGCTCAAGGGAGAATGTTTCGGAATGTTGCCATCTCTGAATCTAATTCAGATTTGTTATCGTCGTCTTTGATATATATTTTAGAAGATCTTGGCTATTCACTTTTATTGGTCAACTTTCGGCATATAATGCCAGGCCTTAATTTACGGTATATACTAGTTGCATGCAATCAATTCATAATCAGTTACCACATAGAACACATCAGATCACACCAAGAAAGTCAAATTAAGCGGTATAGTTCCTTGTTCTTTCTAGGAGCTGCTCCTATTATCTGTCTATGCAAACACTCATATCAGAGAATGGAGCTTTTTTCCGTGCTTAAGCGCACGGTAGCAGTATGGAGGAGCAACGTGCTTTTCCAACGCTCTTCTGTGTTCGTCCAGACGGATCATCAAGGCTCCTGCGGACTTCCCCACACCCCATATGCTATTACCATGTCCTCCACATTGAATTAAATATACGGTGCCTTAGACGTGTGTATGGTATCGGCAAACTGTTCGCAGCACCATTTTTCGCAGAGTAGGGACGATGTCAGGAATTCCTTCAGTATAGGGGGAAAATACGAGTGTTCAAGATATATCCTCGGCCTCACTTATCTCCTTCACTGAAGGTTCTCCCTCTTCGAAGGATCTCTAGGCGGTTAGTGACAAAGCCACGTGGCGCAACCCGAGGTGGCGGACAAGGAAGTGAAAATCGTCGAGGAATATATCCAGCTCGAATGTCTTCAGAATGAGGAAATCTCTTTATCAAACATCTTCCAGGTCTAACAATTAGTCATGCAATCGTCCGGGCTTCACGCTCTAAGGTGATGTAGAAAAGTTCCTGCCTTTGGGAATAATCTATTAGGATGGTGCATAATTGCGGATTTTTTCGCGGCTTTTTTTCTCTCGAAAGAATTTAGATATTGAGTTCGGATTTTTTCTAGGAATGATCTGCTTGATTTCCTCTACAAGAATATACTCAAAAAACCATCCGCATATTTGCGAAATTAGGCTTAACTACTTCGAGAAAGTTCGTAGTTCGCTCGTAAGGAACAAAACTTCTTCGCTTTTGGGATCCGACTGACTAATCAGTGGGAAGCAGCGCTTGACGTAGATGGTGAATAAGTACCAGAGTAATTTTTTGAATATGTCTATGCTTAGTATTTCTATAGTTTCTTTAAGTAAAATTTGCTGGAAAAAATCTGCAATAATTATGCATCAACCTAAAATAGAGAGGCAGGTAAAATGCTGAGGAAATAGAAAATATCAAAATAATCGTGTTTGACCGCCAG